TTAACGTACTTAAGGCTGCTATAGCTCGGCTATAGCTCGGTTATAGCACGTGCTTTACCGTACGTAATCTGATTAGTAAATTTGATTAGTAAATCTGATTAGTAAATCTGATTAGTAAATGCTGCACAGAAAGAATTAACGTACTTAAGGCTGCTATACGTAACTTACGTAAGGCTACTACACGTAACTTACGTAAAGCTGCTATACTTAACTAGGCTGCTCCATGGGGTGGGGGCCCCATGGGGTTTTCCTCCCCATTCCCCCCATGGGGTCTTGGCCGATGGGGGACTTTTTTTTTTAAACCCCATAGGGAGGATTTTTTTAAGTCAAATTCCCTACGGGGGATGGGGAAACCCTATGGGTTTAAAGTGGGACAGCTAAAAATAATATATATGGGGCCGCTAAAAATAAAACAAATTTACGAATATTTACTAATTTTACTTAATCATTATATTTATTTATTATATTTATTAATCACATATGTTATACTTTACAATTACATTGCATTATATTATAATAAACTAAAATTACTAAACAAAACTTCTAGTCATGATTTCCCGCAATTTCCTAACTAACGCTATATCTTTGTTTTGAATCGTTACTCGTTTAGCGTGAATAACATATAAGTTCGTCACTAAAAGTGATTAGTAAATCGATTAGTAAATCGATTAGTAAATCGATTAGTAAATAAATATATAAGTACTTACTTTCAAACTCTTTTACGAAGAATGCTTCTGAAGCTTCTTGTAAACATTCTAAAGCACCGCTTTGAAATTTAAAGTCTTGTTTAAAATCGTGAGTGATCTCTCGAACAAGACGCTGAAAAGGAGTCTTTTTGATAAGAAGCTCGGTGCCTTTTTGATATCGTCGGATCTCTCTTAACGCAGTAGCTATATAAATCAGTAATTGTACTTGAGAATCAATTTATTAATTGATTGAACTTACTTCTTGGCTTGTAGCGACGGCGCTTTCGTTGGCTTAGACCTCTTTTTTTCGCAACAACTGCAGACTTTTTAAGATACTTGCCTTTTTTGGATTTTTGACGAAAAGAAGTTTTAGCTGCCGAAGGTGATTTGCCAGCTGATAGAACGGAGCGAGCAGCTCTAGCCGTCGAGAGTGATTTTTTAGCTTTTTTGTGTTGAGAGAGAGGAATATCATTTTCACTTGAGTTTTCCTTATCATCGCCTTGCTCTTCTTCATCTGTATCACTATAAGGCATCGTCCTCGTCGCGGTTTTTGTAGCTATAATTGGGCCCGAGACAGTGAAAGACCCTTTAAGAGCTTTTTGCGCGAAAGCTTTTTTAGTGCGATTGCTAATAGAAGCAGAAGAAGGTTCAGCAGCTGCAAAAGAATTGTTTTTAGCACTTAAGTCGTAAGACGGATCTTCGTTTTAAAGCTGAGCTGATGCACTCGCTTGGCTCGTCGATTGTTGTATTGCTTTTAAAGCAGTTCTAAAACAATTAGCGAACGAAAGAAAAAGGTTTAAAAAAATTAAACTTACTGAAAGCTGTTGGTACTTATGCTAGTATTGTCAGGAACGATGCCTTTGTTCATTTCGGATTGAATAGCCGAAGTATATTTGATTGCGTTTGCTAAAGAAAAATTTGATTAGTAAATATTTACTAATCATAAGTCAAAAACATTACCGGATCGAGGTCTAGGAGATGATAAATGCTGGTTTGTATTTGCGCGAGAGTTTGTTGGTGTTTGAAGAGCGTCACTTAAAATAATAGAAATTAGCAATTATTAATTAATAAAGTAATTAATACTTACTAGCTTGACCTTAAGAAATTCGGCGAGAAAGGGACGGGGATAAATCGGTTCTTTGTTGTGGACTTGCAATACCGCGCGGGGTTTTAAGAATTTCTGTAAATGCTTGTTAGCTATTTGCAATTGATTTACTAATCAATTTACTAATCAAATATTAACCGGATAGCTGTCGAGTTGTAATAGCGCGGCGCTTAGCAAAAGTGGGGTCAAGAATTTCTGTAAATGCTTGTTAGCTATTTGCAATTGATTTACTAATCAATTTACTAATCAAATACTAACCGGATAGCTGTCGAGTTGTAGTAGCGCGGCGCTCAGCAAAAGTAAGGTTTGGCGCATCCGTAGCCAATTGAGCTTTGCTAGACTGAAGATAAGGATTTGCGCTAAGCAAAGTAACTGAAAAAGTATTAGTAGTACTCCGATTAATTAAATATAAACTTACTTTGTTCACTTTGCAAATTTAAGTTTTCTTCTTCTACGCTTTCGCCGCGTATTATATCTGCTTCACTTTCTTGTGCTTCGTCCTTATCTGCTTGACCCTCAGCCGCTTGACCTTCAGCCGCCTGACCCTTAGCCGCCTGACCTTTAGCCGCTTGACCCTCAATCGCTTGATTCTCAATTGCTTTATCAATTAACTTATCTTGGCTTGCGTCATCTCCTTTAGCCGTAGTGCTTAGTATATCGGTAGAGGAAGGTCGGTCCGAAAGCAAAGGTTCGTTTGGTAAAGAGGCCATTTGAAAGTATTAGTAGAGGGACCTGATCGCGATAATCTAGTTTACGATCAGTAAGTTGATAATTTTAAACAAGAAAAGGACGACCTTACAAAGCAATGAATAGCGTTGTATTCAAAGGCGTAGCAAATAGGAAAGCGATAGTTGTAATTGATTATTAAGTAATAGTAGAAAGGAATCAGACTTTACTTTGTAAGGTAAAAATTGCGCGGGGCGGCCGCCTTATCTTAGCTGCGGCTGCCTTATTACCTCGTGAATTCACTAGCGGCCGCGCTGGGATGTTTTAAAAATAGAATGTACGAGTTCACTTTTAATCCTAACACTTTTATTCTACTACTTTTGATTTTACCTTAAACAATTACTCTTAACGTTTGGCTTCCTTATAATACTATTTAATATGGCCGCTTATCAGCTTGATTCGATAGAAGGTATCATTGCAAATACAGATCAGCTTGATTTGATAGAAGGGATTGAAAAATCTATAGTAAGAATCATTTTCTTATTTACTAATCTATTTACTAATCAAAAACGTCTTTCTTAGAATGCGGCCGATACGACGGCAATCGTGGCGGCAAGCAATCCGGTGCTAGGAAACCTTGGCAAGCGCAAAGTAAGTATCTTTTTTACGTAGTATTCTAACCTTTATTAATTTATTAATTTTTCTTAAAGAGGAAGGCCAGAGAGAGGCCAATTATCAACCAATCCTCATACGATAAGGGCCAATGCTCGTACAACAAAGCTGAAACAAGATCCTTAAGCAGATGAGCTTCGAAAAGCTAAAGGACGAGATCAAGCGGCCGCTAATCAGCTTTCTGCAATTTAGAAACAAACCCTAGAATATTCTTAAGCATCAAAAGCTAAAAAGAAAACTCGATAGGCCGAAATGCGAAAGAATCTTATGGATGAACGGTACTTTTTCTTTTTTTTGATTTACTAAGCAATTTACTAATCGATTTTAAAAAGAATCGAAGCATCCACGCGGATAATCTTGCTATGCAAGCCGCTTCTTTTACAATTAGATTCAATGATGGAAAATACTTGAATAGCGATTGGGTTGATAAAGCATTCAATTTAGACGAAGAGGTTTATAAGGAATTTAATTTGCGAAAAGACGAAGAAGAAAATAGTGATATACCTCGCGATAGATACGTCTCGATTACCGATGAAGAGATGGAGAAGGTCACTCGGCAATTAGCACGTTAGCACGCATGAGTAAGCATTTATTTCATTTAAATATTTATATTTTGCTAATAATATAAAGTCACGCTATATAATGACCGTTTGGCAATTTCGTCGCTACTAGCAAAGTGTAGCGCGGTCTTTGACAAAGAAGTGCCGAGCTGCTAATTTAAAGAGTGGGGAAGCTTTCCTTGAATTGATAGCTTAGGACTTAGCAAGCACGGTTTCAAAACGAACTAAGTAAGAATTCATTTTATTATGCTTTTAATCAATTGAACTAATATTATAACTTTTAGTCTTTATCCAATCAAGCCTCTTTACGTCTACTTTTCCCTTGATAAAAAGAAGTATTGGCGAGCTAAAATTAGAGCAAATACCGATGAGATTGAATACGAATTGCCGGGTCCAGCCGCTTGGTGGAATATAAAAGGATTCGAAAAGAATGCTGAATTTGAAGAAGCTGATTGCGATCTTATTTTATTTCAACGCGTTATGCAATTGATTTGGAAAAAGGACGAGCCAGCTCCGAAGTTGTTTTACGGCGTTAAGGATGGCGATACGGAATTGAGATCATTCCCAAACTCAATGCTTAAGTTTATGTAGAATAGAATTCACGATTAATTACAAATTTTGTATTCTATAAAAATACTTTTATTTATCTTATTCATTAATTATATTTATTAATAATACTTATTAATTATATTTACTTATCATATTTACTAATTATATTTATTAATCATATTTACTAATCATATTTACTAATCATATTTACTAATCATATTTACTAATCACATTTACTAATCGTCGGTTTTTTGTGTAACGATACGCTAGGTCTTTTGACGACACGCCAGGTCTCTTGGACGCACCTTACATGCGCCAAGCTACTTCCTTCCTTTTTTCCTTCGCATTCTTCGTATTCTCTCATTCCCCGCTTTTGACTTATGAACTATGGTTCACGAGTCCTTGGCGCTTCTACCTTCGTGTA